GTAGAAATAGAAATAAAAACTTAACATAATACAATAATGCTGCCCAATTAGAACAAATCAAGCTAGGGGAATAATTTCTAAATAACGACGACAAGGAACACCATTGAGAAGTTTTAAACTTAGCTAGATTGAAGCGCACTGCTGAACATTGTCTTTTTCCTTCAAAGGTAAGCCAAAGGAGATTGGCTTTAGGATTTAAGTTCAGCAGCAAAGGAGATTGGCTTTAGGATTTAAGTTTAGCCTGAGAAGTAGCTGCTGAACATTATCTGCAGTCACATTGCCAAAAACCCAAGCCAAATTAAACTCATTGAAAGTGAGTTCCCAGCACTGTCGAGCAAAAGGCCAGAGGAAAAAGATGTGGATCAAACTTTCCCAAGTAAAGTTAATAGAAGTTGGAGCTGCTTTTGTCGAAAACTGAGAATCAATATTTATTGTGTCAGAAACTGAAGCTGTAAAAAGTACATACATATATAAGATCATCATAAAGACTAATAGCAACCATGGAACTCAGCTAATAATGAAAAAATACAAAACATCTGCCCAAGGAAAAAAAACTGTGTAAATATTAAATAAGGAAAGAAATTTCCTGGATGTGTGATGCTCGACTACAGATCTGCGAACGGCGATGTCGACGGAAGGACGATCAGCCAGCAATATGAACAGCCTCACACGAAGGAACCGTCCGGAAGTAGGATGCACCATTTGAGGACGGCAGCTAGAGTTCCAGCGGTGGCGCGGCGGTGGCGGCTAAGTTTATAGTGACTAGGGTTTTAAGGATAACCTAGCTCGATACCAACTTCATTTCGATGGAATAAAAATAATTGTATTCCAAAGTATATAGAATAAGAAATACATAGTCTTCTTATATAGAAGAAAGACCTATACAAAAAAGATAACAAGAATAAATTAACCATTAATATTTACGGCTAATATTCACAAATAATAAATCAACATCTTCCATCTCGAAGCTTGAACGTAGACAAAGCCTTTGCATACTACCTTTGTTTCCAAATGTATGGCCACGAGCTCTTTTTGGCTCTTCTTGTTAGTGAACTCTCATTTGTTTGTTTCCATATTTTCTTAGTTTAACTTTGTATCATGGAGCTTCAATCTCGAGAAGGAATCTCCAAACCCCAGATTGTGCTTCCTTAGAATTTTCAGGTTACATCCTTTTTAATTAGCACTGAGACTATGCTCCATTTTAGTAGATGACATTCTCTCTCCTCCACATTAGTTTCCCACAAAAGAAAATATTTTTCTTATGTTTAAATATCAATTGTGTATGTATTAAGCCTAATTAACCAAAATAACATCTGCACACGCATGAAATAAGATTTATTGGTTCTTAATGGGAATTTAATGTTATATTATGATTTTCTTTTTGGTTTATAGTGGCAAGCACTAGCTGATGCTGCACAAGCCAAATCATGCTATTGGAAGTTTGTTTTGCTGCAATTGTCTGTCCTACGAGCTGAACTTTTGTCAGATAAGTTTGGAGCAATGACAATAGAAATTGAGGTTCATTTAGAGGAAGCAGCTGAGCTTGTCAACGAAGCTGAACCAAAGAACCCAAGCTATTATAGGTAACTGGAATAAATTAATTGTACTTTACGTGATTGGTCAATTTATAATTTTTAAATTTTGCATATGAAACCATTTCTAATGGCTAGCGTTGTGGCTTGAGTGCAGTGAATAAAGGGCCGTTGGGTTTATTAATTGAGTGAGTTAAAAACCCTCCAATTACTTGCAGTAACTGATACTGCGGTATGCAATTTTTACTACTAAATGTGAGATCAGGAAGTGAGTATCAATTTTGGCCTATAAGAATCTAGGAGCATTGAGACTATTTAGAAATAGAATCTGGGGTAACTAAGAAGAGAGAATTTTATTAAGATTGAGAGATAATCCTCTACAAGGAGAAGGCTGCCTATTTATAAACAAGGAGCCAAGGAAGAAACTTTAACTAACAGAACTAACCTAACCTAATAACAAACAATTAACCAAACAACTAACAAATGGGACTAATGGCTACATCAGATTTCCTCCCCCTCAAAAACAAACTCGTCCTCGAGTTTTTAGGATGCAGTGTAAAGGAGTCAGGGGCTTGATAGGGAAAAATGTCTGCGACATTAAAGATTGGGCTGATGTTGTATTCAGTAGGTAGTTGAATTTTATATGCATTGTCCCCACATTTTTTCTTGGATTGGAAAGGGACCAATCTTGTTTTTATTAAGCTTGTTATACTTGCCAGCAGGTATTCTACCTTTCCTTAGGTAAATCATGACAAGATCCCCTTTTTGAAAGTCTACTGGTCTCTGTTTACTATCTGCATCAGCTTTATACTTTGAATTGGTGACATCAATATGGTCACGGACTTCTTGATGCAGTTTTATTATCCTTTCTGCCATTTGTTCAGCTTCCAAACTAAAATCAATAGAAGATGGTAAATTAGTAAGGTCAACAATAAGATGAGGGAGTTTAGTATAGACCACTTCAAATGGAGACTTCCTTGTAGATCTATTCTGCATATGATTAAAAGCGAACTTGGCTTGGGCAAGAGCAAGGTCCCATTGTTTAGGACGGTCACTGGATAGGCAACGAATTAAGTTTCCCAGTGTTCTGTTGGTAACTTCTGTTTGGCCATCAGTTTGTGGATGACTGGTGGTGCTGTATTTAAGTGAGGTATCGAATTTACACCATAAAGTTCGTCAAAAATTGCTAAGAAACTTGACATTGCGGTCCGATACAATGGTTTTCGGGATACTGTGAAGACGAATGACTTCCTTGAAAATAAGATTAGCCACATAAACATCTGAAGTTTTTTTACATGCTAAATAATGTGCCATCTTACTGAAGCGATCCACCACAACTAAAACCGATTCAAACCCACGTTGTGTTTTGGGTAATCCTAGGATAAAATCCATAGATAATGTGCCATGATAAATAGTTTTTTTACATGTTTTGAGTATTAAGGAACTTGAGGGAAAACTGATCAAGGTAGTGCTACAATGGCATGGACTAATGCATAGAGTTCTTGCTCATAGGTGCTCCAATTTTGGCGTGAAGGACTTAATTTCTCACTAAAGTATTCTATAGGGTGATTACTTTGGGATAAGACAGCCCCTATGCCTACTCCCTGAAGCATCTACCGATACTTAAAACGGTTGTATAAAGTCGGGTAAGCTAAGGACAGGGCTTTGACTATGTTTTTGTTGATTAGTTACGAAACTGGTTGTCTGTTCATTACCCCATGAGAACTTTCCTTTTTTAAGGTAATCAGTTAAAGGAGCAACTAGTGAGCTGAAGTTTCTTATGAATTTTCTATAAAAAGATGCAAGGCCTAAAAAACATTGACTATCCTTTACTGTTTTAGGTTGAGGCCAATCTATTATTGCCTTTATTTTCTTAGGGTCCATCTGTATACCTTTCCCACTGATAATGAAGCCTAAAAATGATATCTCAGAAACAAGGAACATGCACTTTCTTAAATTTATCACTAGGTTATTATCACTTAATGTGGAAAACAGCAAGCTAAGGTGGTGTAAATGGTTTTCCTTAGAATTACTATACATTAAAATATTATCAAAATAAACAACTACAAATTTATTACGGAAAGGGAGAAGAACTCGGTGCATCAACCTCATGAAGATACTAGGGGCGTTGGAACCCAAAAGGCATTACCAGCCACTCGAACAGTCCTTTGTTGGTTTTAAATGCTGTTTTCCATTCGTCCCCCGATCGGATGCGTATCTGACGATATCCACTTCGCAAATCGATCTTGGAGAAGAAAAGCTCTCCTCCTAGTTGATCAAACAAGTCATTGATACGGGGAATAGGAAAACGGTACGTAATGGTTATTTTGTTGATAGCATGACTGTCAACACACATCCGCCAAGATCCATCCTTTTTTGGAGTTAGGAGGGCGGGCACCGCACACGGACTCAAGCTAGGCTGAATATAACCCTTGTACAGTAATTCATGTATTTGGTCATGTAAGATGTCATATTCAATAGGACTCATGCGGTAATGAGGCAGATTAGGTAATGTGGCTCCTGGTATAAGGTCAAGATGGTGCTGAATATTGTGGAGAGGTGGTAGATGGTTTAGAAGTGTGGTGATAGTCGGGAATTTTTCAAGTAAAGTGGTTATTTCAAAAGGGATCTCAGAGAGAAATGTGCTGTCCGTAGGAGTAAAATCCTTAATAACTAAGCCTAGAATCAGCTCATTTTTGGAAAAAAGAAAGTGTTTCCCATTGGCAAGGTGAAACGGCTGTCCTTTTTCTCTAGAATGGGAGGTGTCAGCTCCTATCAAAGGGAGTAAGGCTACCATTTGCCCATCCAAAAGAATTCATAGATATTTTCACGCCCTTTATGAATTACTTGAGTGTCATACTACCATGGCCTTCCTAACAGAATATGACACATCGATGTCAAGAACATCACAAATTATTTGATCCTTGTAGTTGTTACCAATGGATAAGGGAATTGTTCAAATGGTAATGACTCGGGCTTCTCCGTCTTTTTTTTTTTTATTAACAAGAAACAACTTTTCATTGATATATGAAAAGGAAAAATGTTCAGGATATAAAGCCCTCAGGGGGGTGAAAAAAGAACAAAAAAAAGAGAGAAGAATAGAAAAATAACACTTAGTTTTGATGGAATCAAATTATTTGTATTCCAATACATGTTAATAATAAGAAATACATAGCCTTCTTATGTAGAAGATCGGCTCAAACATAAATGGAAATAAAGATAAAATAACAATTAATATTGACAACTAATTTACAGCTAATATTTACAAATAATAAACCAACACTCTCCCTCAAGCTAGTTGAAAGATATCTTCCATTGCCAGCTTGTCAACCATCCTGTCAAATTGTACTTTCGGTAGTCCTTTTGGTCAACACATCGGCAGCCTGTTCCTTTTTGTGGGGCGATTCTTCAAAAGGATCCTTGAGACATTTGGTGAGATGGGATATTGCCTCCCTCCCGCGGGAAGCAGGTGGTTTAAGCATTGGTTGTATTCTTAAGCGCAACAATGCTCTTTTATCTAAATGGGGATGGAGGTTCAGCATGGAGACAGAAGCTTTATGGCGTAGGGTGGTGGCCAGCTTATATGGTTCTGACCGTTTTAATTGGAATGCGATACCTAAACTTCATGGTTCGAGTCGTAGTCCTTGGAATAATATCAACAAACAATGGCTTCAGGTGGAGAAATCCTTTTTTTTCAAAGTTGGCAATGGTCGGAGAACTCTCTTCTGGCATTTTTTATAGATTGGAGTCTCTCTCTTAAAGAATAGATTTCCTTATATTTATAGCATTTCGGCTTCTCCTCTTATTTCGGTTTCGGAAGCTTGGGATAGTGAGTCCTCTTCATGGAATATTTTAACTCGAAGGGCATTGAAGGATGAGGAGATTTTGGAGCTTTCGGAGCTTCTTTCTTGCATTTCTTCAGTTACTATTTCAGAAAATGATGATGTTCGTTGTTGGAGCTTGGAAAAGTCGGGCCTCTTCTCCGTTTCTTCTCTGTGCAAGTCTCAAAGAGCTAATTTGCGGGTTTCAAAAGCTCTTCTACTCTCTCTTTGGAGTTCGGGCAGCCCAAAACGAGTTAATATGTTAATTTGGATTCTATTATATGGCAAAGTCAATACAGCAGATATTTTTCAGAGAAAGTCTCCTAAGATGGCTTTACAGCCATCCATTTGCTTTTTATGTGCAGAAAATGAAGAAAGCTTAAATCATGTCTTCTTTTTCTGCCCATATGCTACTGTTTGTTGGAATCTTTTTCTCCAGATGTTCCAATTAGTATGGGTGTGGGATCGTGTGGCTGATAACAATATTTTTCAGATTCTACATGGTGTTGGGTTGGCACCTAAAGCTAATCTACTTTGGATTAATAGATTTAAGGCTATCATCTCAGAATTATGGTTTGAGAGAAATCAAAGGATTTTTTAAGATTCTTGTCGCCCGCCATTGGAATGCTTCAACATTGCCAAATTCAAAGCTTCTCAATGGTGTGCTCTTTCCGATCTGTTCTCTTCGTATTCCCCTAGTATGATTTGTATGAATTGGGAGGCCTTTATTTCTCCTTTGTAGTCTTGTCTTATGTTTTATTTTCTATTTCTTGCTTTCTCTATCACTCCTTCGGGAGTTTGTATCTTTGAACAATTCTGTTCATTTTCATATATCAATGAAAAGTTCGT